TCAGCATTTCTGTATCCCTTGGGTAAATTCCTAGCAGTGCTATTGCTGGGTCATAAGGGAGTTCTATTGTTAGTTTCCTGAGGAACCTCCACCCAGTTTTCCAGAGGGGCTGCACCAGTTTACATTCCCACCAACAGTGTAGGAGGGTGCCCGTTTCTCCACATCCTCGCCAGCATCTAGAGTTCTCTGATTTGCTCATTTTAGCCACTCTGACTGGCGTGAGGTGGTATCTCAGTGTGGTTTTGATTTGTATTTCCCTGATGAGGAGGGATGCTGAGCATCATTTATCAGCTTTAAGCATATCTTTTGACCCCTGGCTTTTTCACTTCATCTCCTAGCTTTCAATGATTACCTTATTTCTACAAAACCATGAATTAAAACATTGATGTTAAAGACATAATTATTTCATTAGCTTCTTTGTGTTCTTGTTTCTGTTTTGTCATTATTTCATCTGCTCTGTGGTAATAATTTTCTTTCCTTTTTTTTTTTTTTAACATTTGTTTTATATTTGAGTTCGAGACGAGGTGGGTGGGGGAGGGGCACAGAGAGGAAAACAGAGGATCCAAAGTGGGCTCTGTGCTGACAGCAGCAAGTCCGATGTGGTGCTCGAACTCACAAACCATGAGATCATGACCTGAGCCGAAGTCAGACACTTAACTAACTGAGCCACCCAGGAAACCCCCACCCCCACTCCATGTAGTACTAATTTTGTAATTGTGTTCTTCATCTGACGTTTGTTTTTTTCTAAGTTGAGTGTCTTTATATAGTTTCTAGTTGATTTTTGTTACTCAGCTTTGAAAGCAGCTGAAGTTTTCTAAATCATCTTTTTGTAGGCGGTTGTGTTGAAAGGGGCTCAGGCACTGTTCTTGGCTAGCAGGAGCTCTTCCGCTCACAACAGAGGGTGTGTGTGTGTGTGTGCGCGCGCGCACGCATGCAGGCAGGGGGTATTTGTGTACATGCACGTATGTTTATTTAACCTTCACTTCTTACCACCTGGCAGAGATTGCAGGTTCCAGAGAAGCCTGTTTCAAAGTAATGTCTGTTCTGTCTCTTTGATATCCCGCCTTCCAACAGAGGTGTTTGTCCTCATACAGTCCCACCTCCTCAGAAACTCCTTGCTTCCAAATGGGGTGGCGGTGCCCCTTGTTTCAAACAAGGTATTGGTTTTGCCTCCCAAGGCACACACCACCTTTTTTGGAAAACTCTGGTTTTCTGATGCTTTCTCTGCCTTGCCTGAAATCTCTGGTTGTACTTCTCTCACTGAATTTTTCCACTCCTCCTCATATATGTTATGATTTGGAATTACAGATGCCTGCTGGTTTCATCAGAGATTTTCAGTTCTATGTCTCATTCTCCTCCCTGGGTCAGAGTGATTTCAGAGAAGAGAGGGGTCAGAGGCATCTGTATTCTGCTACCTTAAAATGAACATCCAGTTTAATTTTTTACATTTACAAGTAACATGTGAAACTCAATCCAGATAAAACTGAAGTCTCTTTTCATCAGTCCCTCTCTCCCCAGGGATTTCCCTGAGGTACTGCTGTTACCAGTTTGGCATGTTTTCTTCCAGATCATTTTCTGAGAGAGAGACATATATGCTTTTAGAAGTGGTTATGGTTATGTCTTGTGTTGTGATTTTTTAAAATAATCATTTTGTGTTTGTGTTGTTTTACAACTTTTTTCACTTACTGACATTTCTTGATGAGCTTTTCATTTCATTACATACAGAGCTACCTCTGGGGGATGGCAGTTGGGAGAATATTTTGTAGAATAGATAAATCATAGTTTACTTAATTAGTTTATTGGACAAAAACTTTAGAATGTCTCTGACTCTTTTCTTTTCATGTTGTAAGCAGTGTGGCAGTGAATATCTTTTTATGTGTCCCCTTTAGATACATAAGGGTTTGTAGAATAAATTGGAAGAAGTCACACTTAAAGATGCTAAGGATATACATTTTTTAATTTAATAAATAATGGCAAATTGCTCTCCTAAGTTCACCAACAGTGAATAAGCATGAGTTTTCCCACATCCTTATCAGTACTTGATAATATCTAACAGAAAAGTTTGCCAGCCTTGGGGGGGGGGGGGGGGTTGGAAGGATCTTTTTTTAATTTATATTTTGTAGTTACTAATGAAGTTTAGATTATTTTCATGTTTATTGAACACTCCTCTGCTGTATTCTCATTGCTTCATTCCTTCCTTTACTTCATAGTTACTTTTTTAGTGGTTTCAGGTGAAATTATAATTCAAACTATAACTCAGGTTTCAATCTATGAATGGCTACTTTGATTCTTAAAATTACTGTAATGTGATCAAATTTCAGTGTTAGGATCAGTATTGGGAAGGATAGGTTTTGTGGGTTAGGGTGTTTGGGGTTTTGTTTGTTTCTTTCCTGTCCTGTCTCAGAAGCTCAACATAAGTACACAAGGAGACAAAGACATAGGAAAGAAATTGAATTATTATTATTAAAATTTAATTTTTTTTAGACAAATAAACCTCAGACATCACGACCCAATCTCATCAAACCAGCTGCCCAGTGGCAAGATCTCAAAAGATTGGGAGAAGAAAGGCCTAAAAAGTCTAGAGCAGCCTTTGAATCAGATAAGAACGGCTATTTTTCAGTGTGTAATAGCTCATTGTTTGATTCTGGGGCACAGGATGATTCTGAGGATGACTACGGTGAATTTCTGGATCTTGGGCCTCCTGGAGTTTCAGAATTCATTAAGCCAAGTGGCCAAACAGAAAGAGAACCCAAACCTGGACCAAGTCATAACCAAGCAGCAAATGACATTGTCAACCCCAGATCAGAGCAGAAAATCGTTATCTTGGAAGAACGTGGCCTTCTTTTACCAGAAGGTGATCTTTTGGACTCTCAGAACCAGTCATCTGATTCAGAGACAGAGCTTTTATCAAACCTTGGAGAATCACCTGGTATCCTGGATGATCAGGTCATTGAAGAAGGCTGCTGGTTAGATCATCGTTACTTCCAGTCCCTAAACCAGCAGCCCCGAGAGATAACAAACCAGGTTGTTCCTCAGGAGCGGCAGCCCAAAGCAGAACCGGGCCCATTGTTGTATCAGCGCGAACACCAAGTTCTGGCTTTTCCAAGGCCAGCTTTTCCAAGACCAGAACCCCAACAGGATGGGATTCCAGGCCCCTCTTCTCCACAGCCTGCCCATCCTCTGGGAGAGCTTGAAGACCAGCAGTTAGCAATAGATGATGAGGAGCCCGGGCCAGCCTTTCCCCTACAAGGATCTCAGGAGCCCAATTTGGAAAACCTTTGGGGGCAAGAAGCTACTGAGGTAGATCAAGAACTCGTTGCACTTTTAGTGAAAGAAACAGTAAGTTTTATTTTATTAAGTGAATAATTATAGACACTAAATATACTACATTTCCTTTGACTGCAAACTCATTGTGTTGGGGGCAAGGGCCTTCATTTTCCTAAGGATATATAGCTAGTTATATAGAATAGAGGAAGAGAAACTGAAGAGACAGAAATTAAATTAGGATTCATTAATCTATCCTTAACCCCCCAACAAGCCCTCTGGAATTTTAGCTGCAGATCATGGGTACCCTGGTGCTGTCCTAGGACCAATCCCTCTGGTTTTAAAAGGGCTTTCAATTAACTCTAATTCAAACCTATAAAACAGGCTACAGCTGCACGGTCCAGTGTAGCTTCATGTAGCTATTTAAATGTCTTAACAAATAAAACAAAATTCCTTTTCCAGTGGTACTAGTCACATTAAATGTGCCTGATAGCCACATGGGGCTGAATAGCTCCCATATTGGAGAGCACAGAATGGAACATTTCCATCATTGAAGTTATGTTGGGTATCTCTGACGTAAAACGTGATGCAGGGCTGTGTGTTCTGGCTCAGCTGCTGTTTTCCTTTGAACAGCCCTTTCCCCACCTTCCCCCAGGTGTTTTAATCTGGCACACTAGCTCATGTGCATCTTAAGGAGTAGTGCTTTACTCATCTTTGGACTTGTTTTGCTAGAGCTGAGATGTTCATTGTTTGTCAAGAGAGTGAAGAATGGATATGCAAAGTGGCACAGGACCAGATAATTGCTAGGGTCCTCTCAAGAGTGCCCAGTCTATGTAGACAGAGAAGTCTGGGCTCAGACCTGCTTTACAGCCCTTTCATCATCTGTAGTCATTTTACTTTTTGCCCTCTGGCTGTTACTGCAATTTGAAACCATCCTAGTGGATAAAATATAAATAATATTTTTATTCCTTTTTAGGAAGCAAGATTTCCAGATGTTGCAAATGGGTATATTGAGGAGATAATTCATTTGAAGAATTATTATGATTTGAATGTGTAAGTACACTACTGTGCCTTTTTTTCTTATTGTCACAAAATACACATAATATGAAAACCTACCATTTTTACCATTTTTTAGGCATACAGATCATTGGCTTTAAGTATCTTCATATTTTTGCACAACCATCAGCACCATCTTCAGACATTTTCGTCCTCCCAAACTGAAACTCTGTCCCCTTTAACATTAACTTTTTATTCCCACCACTCCTCCGCCCCCAGCCCCTGGGACCTACACTTCTACTTTCTGTCTCTCTGAATTTGACTACTCTAGAGACTTCATATTAGTATGATAACACAGTATTTGTCCTTTTGTGACTGCCTTGTTTCACTTAGCATTTTGTCTTTTTTAATAATCCTCTTGTGGGGGAGGAGCCAAGATGGCAGAACAACATGGAAGCCTTTTTTCTGTCTTGTGGGTATGAAATATATCCAGATCAAACTAAACCATCCTGCACATGTAGAAAACTGATAAGAAGATTAACACAACAATCTGCACAACCTGAACCACAGAACTCAGCAGGTACATGGCGCAGAGAAGTGAATTGGGGGAGAGAGGAGCCATGGACAGCACGGAGCTATTTTGCTTGCAGATAGAAGATGGAGATGGGGCTAGAGTATGGGAAAAGCACCCCCCACAAAAGCAGCTGGAGAGAAAGTGGAAAAGTGGAAACCGTCGCAGGGACTAAGAATGGAGAAAGGAGAGGATTTAAATTCTTTTAAGACTCTATAAACAGCGGGAGCACAGTCTGAAACACCACAGCTCAAATACCTAGTGGTGCTCTGGTGGGAAGGGCGAATTCCCAGAAGAGTGGGTCCGGGAGGTCTTCAGGCCACGCATGATTTTCCATAATCCCGGAAATGCTGCTGCTGCACGATCACGTGAACTTTTACTGGGGTGGACTGGCACCCGGCTGCGAGTCTCTGGACATCGGCAACAGCAAGGTCCCATGAACGTTCCTGGGTGTGGCCAACACCCGGCATTGCTTGGTGAGACCCTCCCCCAGAGGATCTGAGCGGGTCAAAGCCACAGTCCCTCAGAAGTGAGGGGTCAGGAAACACAGCCTCATCGCAGATAAAACTCAGGAGAGAGGTGCTGCCTGGCAACCTGACAGCATGGTCATGGACAGTGTAAAAGCGGGGATTGGATGGAAACGGGAGACAAAAGGCGGGTGCCCAATTCCTGGTCAGGGAGAGCACAGAGTTCTGATACTAGACTGGCTAGCTGGGTGCCGCCATTTTCACCCTGCTCACGCATGCGCATACACACCCACAGGCGCCACAACAATCCACCTCAGTAAGCTAAGCAACACCGTCTAGTGGAGAACGGAGCCATTATACTAAGCCCCTCCCAACTGGGCCAACCTCATTCTTCAGGAACACCACAAATCTCTCTGCCTGCCTAGTTTATAAAGTGTTTCATAATTTGACTTCTAGGGAAAAGTAATGTAATATCAATCGTATTCAGTCTGTACACTGGTCCATCTATTCAATTTTTTCTTTTTTTTCTTTTACTTGAATACAGGAAGATAAATTTATTTTAATTTTCAATTTTTTACAAATATTTTCCTTTATTTTTTTCAACTAAAATTTTTACGTTTTTATAAGTTTTTCAAATTCTATTTTACTTCCACCATGATTCTATTTCATCATATTTATTTTCTCAAATTTTCAAATACTTTTTTTTTTCTTTTTCCCTTTTTTCTCTAATCAACCAAGCTTCTTTCAATAACCAGACCAAAACACACCTAGGATCTAGCATCACTTACTTGTGTGTGTTGTTTTGAATTTTTTTTACCTTATTAATTCCTTTTCCTCTTTGAAAATGATGAAACAAAGGAAATCACCCAAAAGAAAGAGCAGGAAGAAATGGCAGCCAGGGACTTAACCAACACAGATAAAAAGCAAGATGTCGGAACCAGAATTTAGAATCACAATAATAAGAATACTAACTGGGGTAAAAACTAGATTATAATCCCTCTGTACAGAGATAAAAGAAGTAAAAGCTAGTCAGGATGAAATTTTAAGAAATGATGTAACTGAGCTGCAATCTGAAATGGATGCCACAACGGCAAGGATGGATGAGGCAAAACGAATCAGCGATATAGAGGACAAACTTATGGAAAATAATGAAGCAGAAATAAAAGAGGGAGAGTAAAGCAAAAGAGCACGTTTTAAGAATAAGAAATCAGGAGCGCCTGGGGTGGCTCAGTCAGTTAAGCATCTGACTTCAGCTCGGATCATGATTTCACAGTCTGGGTTCAAGCCCCATGTCTGGCTCTGTGCTGACAGCTCAGAGCCTGGAGCCTGCTTCAGATTCTGTGTCCTCCTCTTTCTCTGCCCCTCCCCCACTCACTCTCAAAATAAAGACATAAAAAATTTTAAAAAAATAAGAGAAATCAGTGACTCATTAAAAAGGAACAACATCAGAATTATAGGGGTCCCAGAAGATGAAGAGAGAGAAAAAGTGGTAGAAGGGTTATGTGAGCAAATCATAGCGGAAAACTTTCCTAACCTGGGGAAAGACACAGGCCTCAAGATCCAGGAAGCACAGAGGACTCTCACAAGATTCAACAAAAAACAAGCATCAACAAGGCATATAATAGTCAAATTCACAAAATACTCAGGCAAAGAAAGAATCATGAAAGCAGCAAGGGGAAAAAAGTCTTTAACCTACAAAGGAAGACAGATCAGGTTTGCAGCAGACCTATCCACAGAAACATGGCAGGCCAGAAGGGAGTGGTAGGATATATTCAGTGTGCCAAATCGGAAAAATATGCAGCCAAGAATTCTTTATCCAGCAAGGTTGTCATTCAAAATAGGAGAGAGAGAAAGTTTCCCAGACGAACAAAAATTAAAGGAGTATATGACCACTAAACCAGCCCTGCAGTAAATTTGAAGGGGGACTCTCTAAAGGGAGAAAAGATGGGGGGGGGGAGAGACCAAAAGTAACAAAGCCTAGAAAGGACCAGAGAACACCACCAAAAACTCCAACTCTATAAGAAACATAATGGCAATAAACTCATATCTTTCAGTACTCACTCTAAACATCAGTGAGCTAAATACTCCAATCAAAAGACATAGGGTAACAGAATGGATAAGAAAACAAGATCCATCTCTATGCTGTTTACAAGAGACCCACTTTAAACCTAAAGACACCTTCCATTGAAAGTAAGGGTATGGAGGGGCGCCTGGGTGGCTTAGTCGGTTAAGCGTCCGACTTTCGCTTAGGTCATGATCTCGCAGTTTGTGGGTTCGTGCCCCACATCGGGCTCTGTGCTGACTGCCAGCTCAGAGCCTGGAGCCTGTTTCAGAGTCTGTGACTCCCTCTCTCTCTGACCCTCCCCTGCTCACGCTGTCTCTCTCTCTCTCTCTCCTAGAAATAAATAAAACATTTAAAAAAAAAAAAAAAGAAAGTAAGGGTATCGAGAATAGTCTGTCATGCTAATGGTCACCAAAAGAAAGTTGGAGTCACTATACCTCTATCAGATAATCTAGACTTTAAAATAAAAATTGTAACAAGAGATTAGGAAGGACATTATATCATAATTAAGGGGTCTATCCACCAAGAAGACATAACAATTGTAAACATTTATGCTCCAAATGTGGAAGCACCCAAATATATAAATCAATCACAAACATAAACTCATTGATAATAATGCCATAATAGTAGAGGACTTGTATCATAATAGTAGGGGACTTCAACACCCCGCTTACAGCAATGGACAGATCATCTAAATAGAAAATCAACAAGGAAACAGTGGCTTTGAATGACACACTAGACCAGATGGACTTAACAGATACATTCAGAACATTTCATCCTAAAGCAGTGGAATATACATTCTTCTCCAGTGCACATGGAACATTCTCCAGAATAGACCACATACTGAGACACAAATTAGCCCTCAACAAGTGCAAAAAGATCAAGATCATACCCTGCATATTTTCAGAACACAGCACTGTGAAACTCAAAAATCAACTACAAAGAAAAATGTGGTAAGATAAATACTTGGAGACTAAAGAACGAATGGGCTAACCAAGAAGTTAAGGAGGAAATTTAAAGGTACATGGAAGTCAATGAAGATGATAAAACCATAGCCCAAAACCTCAGGGACAGAGCAAAGGCAGTCATAAGAGGGAATATAGCAATCCAGGCTTTCCTAAAGAAGGAAAAAGGTCTCAGACACACAACCTAACCTTACACCTCAAAGAGCTGGAAAAAGAACAGCAAATAAAACCCAAAACCAACAGCAGACAGGAAATAAGATTAGAGCAGAAATCAATGCTATGGAAATTAAAAAACAAACAAACAAAAAACAGTTGAACAGATCAATGAAACCAGAACCTGGTTCTTTGAAAGAATTAACAAAATTGATAAACTGCTAGCCAGTTTGAGCAAAAGAAAAATGAAAGGACCAAATACATGAAATCAAGAATGAAAGAGGAGAAATCACAACCAACACGGATGAAATGCAAACAATAATAGAATATTATTTACAATTATATCCCAATAAAATGGGCAATCTGGAAGAAATAGACAAATTCCTAGAAACATAAACTACCAAAACTGAAACAGAAAGAAGTAGAAAATTTGAACAGACCCATAACCAGTAAAGAAATCGAATTAGTAATCAAAAATCTCCCAAAACACAAGAGTCCAGGGCCAGATGTCTTTCCAGGAGAATTCTACCAAACATTTAACAAAGAGTTAACACCTACTCTCTTGAAGCTCTTCCAAAAAGTAGAAATGGAAAGAAAACTTCCAGACTCTTTCTATGAAGCCAGCATTACCTTGATGCCAAAACCAGATAAAGACTCCACTAAAAAAGAGAACAATAGACCCATCTCCCTGATGAACACGGATGCAAAAATCCTCAACAAGATATTAGCCAACCGGGTCCAACAATACATAAAAAAGATTATTCACAACCAAGTGAGATTTATATCTGGGATGGAGGCCTGGTTCAATATCCGCAAAACAATCTATGTGATTCATCACA